TGACTCACTCTCCTCACAGAGGAAGCCCTTATAGCCCAGAGGACACAGGCAGATGAAGCCGTCCGCACGGTTGGCAAAGCAGATTCCTCCATTAGCACAGGTGACCTTCTCACACACACTGTTGCTGCACTCGCCTGAAAAGCACAGAGGAGAAGATGCTTTGAACACATATACAGTGATACCACCAACAAGTACTCTACTGCTTTTATTGTCCTCATTTGTAAGTCGCTTTGGATAAAAGCGTCTGCTAAATGACTAAATAAAAAATAAAAATAAATAAATGTGGACATTTAAAAATGTCTGAATATCAATGCATTAGATCACTGCACTGTCGTTCAAAAATTTGGAAAGAAGTCTCATCAAGGCTGCATTTATTTGATCAAAACCACTGTTAAAACAGGACTCTTGTGAAATATTATTATAACTGAAAATAATTTTATTCATGTGATGCAAAGGTGAATTTTTAGTCTTCAGTGTCACATGATCCTTGCGTTAGGCTAACCGAGACTTGTCATTTGCACTTATATATTGTTGCGCTTTTGTTAGTTTTGACTGCTTTTATTGTCCTCATTTGTAAGTCGCTTTGGATAAAAGCGTCTGCTAAATGACTAAATAAAAAATAAAAATAAATAAATGTGGACATTTAAAAATGTCTGAATATCAATGCATTAGATCACTGCACTGTCGTTCAAAAATTTGGAAAGAAGTCTCATCAAGGCTGCATTTATTTGATCAAAACCACTGTTAAAACAGGACTCTTGTGAAATATTATTATAACTGAAAATAATTTTATTCATGTGATGCAAAGGTGAATTTTTAGTCTTCAGTGTCACATGATCCTTCAGAAATCATTCTAATGTGCTGATTTGCTGCTCAAGAAATATTTTTTATTTGAATTTTGAATATTGAAGGTTGAATATTGGATATTTTTTTGCATGTCAAGAATCAGAATTTATTAGTATTTATTTGAAAAATTATTTCTGAAAATGTGAAAGTATTTACTGCCACTTTTATTTTATTTAAACCATCCTCGGTGAATAAAAGTATTAATAAAATAAAAATCTGACCCAAAATTCACAGTTCTCTGATGTCAATGATCACATGACATACGTGCAAACAAATAAAATATTAAAAATTTTTAGTAAGTGCTTTATTTTGAATGCTTTTATTTTTCAATTATTTATTATTTAAATTTGGCATTTATGATTTAATTATCAGCTCTTTATTAACTGACGAACCCCCACTGGACAGAATTCTTTTTGAAACAAAAATACTTTTAAGCACAACATTTGACAAAACAAAAAGACTTTAAGATTTGAAAATCATAAAACAATAGATAAAGCTGTTCAAAATAAAGACTAAATGTATTTGTACACTCATAGTTATGGGGTATGTCAAACTAACCGATGTCTGCTCCGCTCAGTGCATTTCCTTTAGGCCAGGGTCGGATGTCAATGGCTTTACTGTTGACAGTCAGACTCTGCATGCAGCCCTGAAAGCCGCGATTGGTGCCCACCGCCCTCACCAGCCAATAGGCATTCGGAGCTCCGCCCAAAAACAAAGGCGTGCGGAACGTTATTTTAGTGTACTGACCCTAAAAGAGAGAAGAGGCTGTTAGATGCATTTCATAAAATGGATAGTTCCAGTCCTGGATGCTGATTGGTCAGTACATCACATGACACAAAACCAGCCACAACACCCGACTTCATTTTTTAAATTTTTTAATAATTTGTGCTGTGTTTGTGTATGAAAGCATGCGTACCTGAGAACGGCCTGACACCGGTGTGTCATTGTCTAATCTCAGCCAGCCATTCATGCCGTCTCTAAATATTGTGACCGTGTGCCACTGTCCAATCACAATGGAGCTGTCACTTACAATCTGAGCTGCACCCGTACCGCAGTTAAACCTGTGCACATAAAATTCAAGATCAATTACTAATAATCACAAAATCAATTAAATTGCATTGAGGGAAAAAAAATGAAATGAATCAATATCTCTCAATAGGATAAGTGAAAATG